ATAAATAGGTGTGTTGACAGATATTGAATGATTTATTTTGACCCAAACGGAAAAAACTCGACGACATCGGTGGGATTCGGACGCAAGACAGAAAGGGAAAGACTTCAGTACAGACAACGTTCTGGCCACCTGAACTACGAGGCCCAGTAGGGAGTTGGGCGGACAACTTGATCCAAACGTGATTTAACTCATCCCTTCCGGTGGGACCTTGTAAACCAGATGACTAGGGCGTTGGCTCCACCAAGCCTTTTCCTTACCGCCATGGATTCGAACCCCATAGAGGTTGCCGAGTTTCCGCAATTGGGAACTGCCAGCGCATACCAGGCTGCGAGGACCATGGTTTGCTGATGCTGGCATAGCACACGCTTTCATTTAATCATAGTGACGTAGTTTTATACGGGCAAGGCTTCTCAGGGAATGCTCAGTTTGAGTTCCGCGCGTTAGCATGGAATGTCACTATTTGGGTTGGTTCTACTGCCACCATCCTAACAGACATTATGGACGCGAAGTTGGGGTCTGACGCATCCAGGGATAAAGTGCGACCTTGCGTAGTTGATTTCAGGGGGAACGGTGGGAGGTACTTTTGCGTCAATCAAGTCGCTAGCTGTTTAGGCGTGCGACTGTTAAAACATCTGTATGTAACAGATCTAAGTAAGTTCTGGCATAGGAAATGCGAAACGTGTGATGACTATTTTGTTTTATCTTTCATTTATGAACGGCTTTTTAGATTTAGTTTACTTGATACACACTTTCTAACCTTGTCCTGGTTTAGTTTTGTTTAAGGATATGCACATTAACCTTAACGACAGTATCCACTTGGACTGCCCCGAAAAAGGTCGTGTGAATGATTAACGGTGAAATTGTCCTCGCCTTTTAGCACTTTTTTCTATGGGCGTCGGTGACGCGGGCGTTACGTAGTACGACTCGTAGATTAGCGTGGGATCTGGCTACCGATCAATTTCATTAGGTAGTAATCCACATGCCATCAACAACGATCCTGTTGATTTCTAAAGCAGGCATAGACAGCAGAATTTAGTGGAACCAATAGATTTCGCGACGGCTTATCAACTGCACCTGCCTAAATGGCTTCTAAAACAGGAGAATAAAATCCCACGGTCTTCTTTTACAAAGCACCTCCTTGATAGCGGTCATTCGGTTGACCCCAAAACATCTTTTTGAGTATTAGTTCGAGCACGAACAACTCGGTTACTGCGCTATTTGGAGGCAGCCTACATACGGCGGAAGAAACCCGACATATGCAAACAGTTGGACCATGTAGACAATCTCAGCTTGCTCTGGTAGATCTGGGCCCCTTTTGATTTTCTAAATCCCTCGGCGTGTTAACTACCCGTTTTCTTTCCTATGTTTCGTTTTTCAGTTACCATTTTATTGATTAGTCTACGTGCAGCATACGATGACCTTGCTGTTTAATATTGATTTTCTCCGTGGAAGTTCAAACCTCTGTGCCTTTCTCACCTGTTATCTGTCTGCAGTCGATAAGCCGTCGCGAAATCTATTGGTTCCAATAAATTCTGCTGTTTATGCCTGCTTTGAATTCATTCTGGAGAAATATTGCTTCAAGATACTGTTGATGATTGGAGTGCAGACTAATCCAATCTTAACAATATCTCAAGAATGTAGCTGGACTGAAGTCAAAGCTGCGGAAGCGAACAGGCGAGATCCAGGAGGCAGTTCAGAAGATGAAGGTACGATCACGGGAACAAAAAATTTACTGGTCTGACGTTCGCGCATTAATTTCCTCGGAAATTAAACAAAGCGAGGTGAAAATGGAGTTCATATACCAGAAAACACACGGACAAGGCTGGGGATCCACTGATGAGCCGAACCCCTCGCAGTTGCGTCAGGTATCCACACAAGATCGGCGAACCACGCGTTTCTGGGCTTTTCGCTAGTACTTATGTTGTCAGTACAGTAAATAATTACACAATGAGGACTGTGTTGCATTCTGAATGAGGGGCATTATTGACCAGACAGGCACCATGCTATTCGAATGGACGTTGCACGGTCTAATAATCGGAAATTTTTCAAAACTGAAGGATACCCCTTCTTCGGGTAAAAAAACTTGAAGAACACATGATCTGCTGTCGAATGAATGCAAGAAAAGTATTCATGTGCATGTTTTCTTTAAAATATTTTTGAATTTATAGGAGCATCGAAAATCGGTCGAGAATACGCATGCTACTTAAGTAGGCATATTTTACGGATTGGTTTTTGAAGGTGATCGAAAAGGAGTGTCTTCAGAAGCCAACATTCTGACGTGCTTCAAATATCACGAGCTTATGCCACGGATATTCATCATTACAACCCCCCTCTATAGTAATTCTCCCTATTCGAAAACGCATTTAATGGGATCGATCATTGACTGTATATTTAGTAATTCTGCTTATAAAGCATACACCGCAAGCGTCTGGTGCTCTAGTAAAATACAGTCTATTCCGTCCTCTCTGTTAGAAAGGCAAATGGTTAAATTGTCTTCCGAACGCATATGGTTAGTTGCGCGTCGGTATACAGATCATTCTTTTATTGCTTCGTGAAACAAGTAAATGCAGAATGTGGCGGAATGCCACAAAGAGCGAGTTTCACAAGAATATGATTGATGGCGTGGTAATATGAATGACACAGAAACTTCCGCAATCCCTGTAAGAAGATGATGAGTCACCCACCCGGCGCTTACACAGGAGATGAATGCCGGACCGATCCCTGCTGAAGGCGCATTGCAAAATGGGCATGTTCTCCCGTCTGACGAATATACAGCCGTGAACCGTACGGCAGTAAGAGCTCCAGATGGTACTGGGTACCGGCCGGCAATTGGGTCATCTCTGGAAAGGTCACAAGCCAAAGTAGTGCAATAACATGGCCAATGTGCATCCGGTACCGGCTTCAAGTAAATGGGAATGTTTTTACGAACTAACAAGTTATATCTCACAAGCCCTTAGCCTTAAAGGCAGCAAGTAAAAACCGACCAGTGGATAATATAGAAATTCTGAACGTTAAGTAACCTGAGAACAGAGCGCGACAGCTAAGCAGGCAAACTAAGCGGGTGTGTTGTTTTTCGTCACATTTAAACAAGCAATTCGGGGTAAAGAAAACGGGACTAAGTTGTCAAAGGCAAATTAGTCCGGTACCTCACCAGAGTCTAACAGAATCTATTCAAAAGCTAGACGGGATTAATGGCCTCGTCTGCATCTTATTCGCGCGAATATCTACACGTTTTCAAGACTTATGACGTGGCCTCTGAGGCCGGCTAAATCAGCCGGGAAGGTAGGTTGAAGAACGACATTTCGACCGTTTTAAGTTATTATGTCCACCACGAGCCGCACAGAGTGAGTGTGGCATCCGTGCTTGCTCGTGAATTAGTTTGTGGTGGAGCAGACTTGCACAGCGCCGGTCACACTCTCTCCTCCATCATCCAACGGATCCGATGGTAAGACAACGTCAAGACAGCCGGAGATAGCCTCGGGCACACTAGCTCGTCTACGCACTTAGTGCCATCACAGGGCACAATTTGTCTCGGTTAGCTGGCCTTTTTCCCGGCCACAAATGTTCGCCTGTCAAAGTGAATTTGAGCTCGTCAAATTTATTAGAGTAGGAAGTACACCGATGTACAGTAAGGATGGATTACCCAGTGTCGACTCCACTTCTTCTCGTATGCACTAGTCGGCTGCCCGAGTCTGTCATTCAGCTGGTGATTGGATCGGACGCGATGGCTGACAAAGCTCAGCAGCGGGTTGTTCCGGTGTGTTGTTTTTCGTCACATTCAAACAAGCAATCCGGGCAAAGAAAACGGGACTAAATTGTCAAAGGTAAATTAGTCCGGTACCTCACCACAGTACCTCCCAGGATTGTGTAACACACACATTTACTACGATAAACCAGAGAACCTGCTTCCCACTTACATGTGATGCCCATTTCCTGACATGCGAAGTTTCGCCCGCCATGCCGTGCTTAATAACCGCCCAGATCGAGGCAAACAGCTTGGAGAAAGTTAATATATACTAAATTACACGGTTTACGATATACTAAGCAGTGGACTACATGTCTCATCTGCCAGAGCAGCATGAAATCTAGGAAATGCTGAAGGGCAACGTCCGCCAGTCAACTACATTTTCCAAGAAGTGGCTGTCAAGGAACACTACCGATCCTCTTCGTCTTTAGCGAAAATGCTTGGTCAAGATAAAGGGGCTAACTATGTAGAACAGCATATATGTGCAAATGCATAGAAGTATGTGTCTAGTTTGAAAAAACCGACGGGATAAGTACTGAGATAGGTAGGACTGCGAACAAGACCGAACTGAACCAATCACCGACCAATCACAGTCATCTTTCGTAAGATTGAAAATAACGCATTGATTTATCTTTAAAGACAACAGTAAATGCATGAAAACAGTAGGATATATGGTGCCTTATCATTTTTTCGAAGAAGGCATCGAAAATGACGGAAATCTCTTAGTACTGGCCGAGGTAATATATGACGATAGACAAGGGGACTGTTCTTTACTTGACGTGGGGACGATTAATTGTATGGTGATATTGGATTAGTGGCAAATTTTTGTCAGAAAGCGTATATTCCACTGTGAAGACCACTTAGTTGGGAATCATAAAATGCACTTTTTTTTAATTATATATTTTAGTGCCACGAGAAAAACTTTGTTTAGTAGCGGCATTCCAAATGTCATCGCCATGATTTCCCCACTCACATGTAGTTTGTCATTGAGCCACTCTTGGGACAATCATATTTCTGACACCGTTCGACAGCTCTAAATGTCCTCCTTCCAATTATTACCACATTATCACATTATTTCGACTATTTCAAGTGTTAAATGCCCTTTAAATCGGACAAGTCAGTAGACTATATCGTTATTTAGCGCGCGAACGTGTCAGACGCTGTTCGCGCCTAGTGCACTTCGACGCGAGCTAGTCAGCTGTATTATAAATACCGCGAGTCACCGCTTCGCAGCAAATCACATTTCGCTTGCGCCATGACTGACTCTGCTGCCCAGGCTGCCGTGAAGAAGGCGAAGGCGCCGAAGAAGCCAAAGGTGCCTGCTGCCCACCCGCCCTTCGCTAAGATGATCGTGGATGCAATTAAGGACCTGAAGGACAAAAACGGTTCCAGCCGTCAGGCGATCTTGAAGCACATTAAAGCCCATAACAAGATTGACGAGAGGGTTGCTGAGGTCCACTTGCGTCGCGCCCTTGTCTCCGCTACGGCTTCCGGCAAGTTGATTCGAACCAAGGGTGCCGGCGCCTCTGGGTCCTTCAAGCTCTCCGAGAAGGCGAAAAAGGAGCCAGTCGCAAAGAAACATGCCAAGAAGACGACCTCCAAGCCAAAGACTACCAAGACGGCTAAACCGAAGAAGGCTGCCACGGCCAAAAAGACGCCGAAGCCGAAGAAGGCCGTGAAGACGGTCAAACCAAAGAAAGCTGCAACGTCGGCAAAGCCCAAGAAACCTTCCGTGAAGAAGACGCCAAAGAAAGCGGCTAAGAAATAGGCCCTCTACCAGCAAGCATCCGTCCCCTTGTACATATATTCTTCTTTAACTTGTATATACTAACACCACACATGAGCGACTGCAGAGCTTGTTTTGGATTTTGTTTCGGCGGGTTGGGCTTCCTGTGCTGTCGTGTTTTTGTCAGGGGTTTTCTGGCGTCGGGGTGAGGCGTGGCTTGTCATCGCACGGTGCTGAGTCCTGTTGGTGTGGTCGGACCGGCAGTGCGGTGGGACTTCGACTCCTAGGGGTGGGGGGAATGTTCTCGGCCGTGGGCGTTCCCGGGACGGCGAGTGGGGGCGGTCTTGGCCTACGTCCCCTCGAGGCGCGCTCTGGTGGCGTTGGTGTCCTTTCGGCCACTGCGTCCAAGTCGACCCCGTTGAGTGGTACTCGCAGGAGGGTGAAGTCGGCACTGCGGGTTCCATCCTCGAGGCACGCCGACGCATTCCTCGCCGCAGTAAACCTCGTGCTTACATCTGCTAGAGCTAGCTAAACGTCATGGATTAGTGTTCCCGATTGAGGGAATAAGTCAGTCCTCGTGGAAGTAATCTTGAGGCTTTTCGACGTCGTCAATGCCATGATCAGCAAATCATGGTCCTCACAGCCTGGTGTGCTCTGGCAGCTCTGCGGTAACTGGTCCTCTGGCGGTAGGTGTGTCCCGCGCTCTCGCCGGACGTCCACGTCTTTCTGTTGTTGACAGGTGTTTGTTTCGGATCAGGGGTGTGGCGTGGGGTGGTAATGTGCGGTCTCCTAGCTTCCTGTCTTGATTCTGTCTTTGCACCGGGTCCAGGAGGAGGAGGAGGGAGCGCGGGGGGCGCTACGCAAGTCCACCCTCACAGTAAATTAATTCACGCGCAAGTCACCATGCCTGATTCAACTTGCTGTGGAGCACACGTTAGACATCCTTGGATGCAACGGTCGACCTATCATTCTGTAGGATTCGCAGTCGGCTGTACTGGCACTTCTTAGTGTGGCCTTTGCAGCCATCGCGCATGTGTGAGCTGAACCGTCGTCAGATAAGATGTGGTTTGGTAGATCCACCCGGTGGGCACAATACTGTTGGGGTTAAGGGTTAGGGTTAAAGGCTGTGGCTAGGAGTTAGACTTTAGGATTACGGATTATGGTTGGGGATTAGGGTAAGGGGTTAGCGCAACTAATTCTCAACCATTCAAAGTACGACCGCGCATTCTCAATGGCCTTTCTTTTGCATACATCTACTTGACCTCGTCGCCTGTGCGTTTCCCGACTCCACCAGTAAAAACACCTATTTCCACCGGTCCCGTATTAGCGATGACTGGGGGTTTGTTTACTTCAGGTAGGGCTGCATAACCACATCCGACCCGCCGTCACATGTTGACCGCTTCGCTTGATCTCACCGCGTTCCTGCCGATGGAGTTAAGTGAGTGAGGCCTACGACTGTCTAACTGTGACATGGTGGTTACGCCTTCACGGCGGGGACCTCAAGGAGTCGTTACTGTGCCGAAATGTCTTTTATTCTCCAGTTTCGGCCATTTAATTTCGGAATACGGTAAGTCGAAATCCAGTCGCTCATTTACTCCGCTAGGAGAACGATTCGTTTCAAACGCAAATATGCACAGTCACTCGGTTTGCACTCCTCGTTTTGGGTTGAAATAAGGCCTCTTATGGACGGAAAATTAGCCATCCGCATACATTCCAGCCTTCCTCGTCTCCGTCTATAACACGATACAGATACCGCCTGCATCAATACCCGTTTATAACTGGCCTTCTTGCCGCCATGCGCGTTA